CCCAATGTAGTGGGGAGGAAAAATTTAACACATAATACCAATTATCACTACTGGAATGCATTATAAATCAGGCACCTTGCTGAGTTTCATAAAGATGATCTCAATACTCAGAACAGCTCGTTGAAGGAGATACTACTATTATTGCCATTTTACAGATAGGAGCCCTGAGGCAGAAGAGGTTTAGTGCATCACTCCGCGTCATACAGCTAGTAAGTGCTGAAGCCACATTTTGAACATAGACAGATTCCAGAGCCTGTGCTCCCATTATATCTGTATATTTATAATATACAGTATGGTATATGTGCTTGTGCACACACACACACACGTGCGCACACGCACACACAGACACTGAAGCTTCACTCACCCTGAATTAATTACCTGACAACCTCACCTATTTGATAGAACTAAGGACCAGGAAGTGAGCAAAAAAAAGAGCTCTGAGTACCCTAAATAACTTTATTCATTCAATAACTAAGTGAGACTCCAGGTGCTCATACACAATTGTGATCAGGACTGACTCAACCTGACCCAGAGTCTTTGTACTGAAGCTCGTAATTTTCCCTCATGGAGGAACACCTTGGGTTTTCTCTCTTGCCTCTTGTTTTCCAGACAACTTTATATTGTAAGTGACAGGTTTCAAGGGTGGGTGAGTTGAAGTAGAAGAAGATACAGATGAGTACAGTAATGTTATGAAAAAGGGGGAAATGAAGGAAAACATAAGTTAAGACTAAGACATTAAGACATGAGAGCCAATGGCCCTATGTTTCTCATATTCCCTAATTATACTGGAATTAGGCACATCGTAACAACAGAGATTTCTAATAATTACTCTGAAGTAATAAGAACATAGGGGATAAGATTATCATTTAAGATATACTATAATAAAATTTTCAACAAAAGTTTAAAATTGTAATTTTGACATTTACAGCTATGTAAAGGGGTGAACCATATTTGACTTATGATGAACACATCCTTTTGTAACAACTGCAATAGGAATAAGATGTAATCGTATTTCACATATTAAAAAAGAAAAAGTATATGTATATATAAAACTGAATCAGTTTGCTGTGTACCAGAAACTACCACAACATTGTAAATCAACTATAGTCCAATGGGGAAAAAAAAAAAAGAAAAAAAATGTGGTGGATATCTGTGTTGCTATTTTTACTTCTTTTGTCAACAACTCTGCTATTTTTGGAGGGAATGCTTCCTCCCCATGCCTCCCATCCACATCACAGGCAGTTTGAGGCTCTACCTCTAGCCCTGGGTAAAGCATGTGACCCAGACCTAAGCCAATCAAGGAATCACATTTTCACAACCATACGATTAGGTTCAAAGATATGTACAGTTGATCCAGTAGGAGCGAACTTCAGAGCAACCTCAGAACATTGCTGGGAATGCTAGAACAAGGCTCCGTCTCTTTCCTATCAGATCTCAAGCTGGAAGGAAGAAGGTAGCTCCAGAAACTGCTGGCCACCATCATGTGACCAGAAAGGGAGAGACAATCTGAAAAAGAAATCAACAGGGATGAGGGAAAGCAAGAGAGAAAGAGAGATAAACCAAGTCTTAATAATATTGTATAACTGTGTGAGCACATCTATTCCCTTTTCGTTAAGCAGTCAGGTAGATTTCTTTTGAAATTTATAATGGGTAGACTCCTTAGTAATTGAATAGGTAATATATACCTAGCAAAAGTGAATAAGAACTACAATTCTTATTATAGGTGGGGCTGTGGGAAAAGCATATATGTAAACGTGAGGTAGATACATAAAGTGCTCCAGTCTTTTTTGCAACACCCACTCATGTTTATTTATATATATACTTCATTTATCTCTCTATATAATTATATATTTCATCTTACTCCTGGGAGTTGGTGCCTTAGAACTAAAACATACATAGGACATATATTTCTAAGAATTGAAGTTGTTTATTGCAGCATTTTTTACAGTAGCAAAAAAGTGGAAGCAAAATGAATGTCCATGAGTGATGGAATGGCTGAAAACGTTACAGCACAGTCACAGCACGGACAATCAGGAATATTAAGCAGCTTTAAAAGAATAAATTAAAACCATATCAGATGTCTTGGGAGAATTTCCACAAAGTATTTTAGAATGAAAATCAAGATACAGAGAACCAGTGCACCATGACTTCATTTTAAAAAATCAGGATAATCCCCATTGTGTGACTACGCATAACTACGCAGGATTGTAGGAGTACAGAAAGAAATACGGATAGTATTAGATTTTAAATGTGGATTATTTGGGGGAGCATATTTGACATCAGTGAAGAAGGAAGCACAAGGGAAGGAGAAACCAAACAGAAAAAATAAGTCAAAAATGTATACTTGAAATAAATGCATGCATGGTTATGCTTATGCACTTATGTAAAATTGTGTACATATGGAGTATATGCATACATATTAGGTGTTCTGAATTATGTGTATGTATATTTACTTATATACGTAGTAAGAAATTAAATACAAAAAGGTATCTTAAGTAAGTTCTAATTTTACTGTTACATGCCATTAAAAAGAAACCCACCAGCAGCCTGAGTTTGAAGGCATGTCTGTCCATTGTGTTCCGGATTATCTGTCGGACCATCTGTCCCCACACGGGAGGGTAATCCAAAGCCTATGGTTTTAGCTCACTGTGTTTGGTTTCTTACGATCTGACTTTCACAGAAAAATTATTTGTGGTTCTGAATATGTTCCTCCTATGATAACATCAAGGAAGAGAAACAGAGTGGAGCAAAAGACAGACAAAACTACTGTTCTCATATCTCTGACTTCCAGAACACTGTTATAGGGTCAATTTCCTAGTTGTCTGGTGGGAGACTTCCCTAGCTGTATTTCCAGTATCTACCCCAGTATCATGTTATGTCACGTCATATCACTTTCTAGTCTAGTATATTCATGTTGCGTTACCATATTCTACTCATGTTATATTATATTATGCTATGTTATGTTACATTTTTACGATATCATCACTTTTTTTGGTGATAATGCCTTATTCAACATTTAAAACTTCCCATTTCCTGATTTACTTTTTTGTTTTGTTTTGTTTTGTTCAGATTTAGGTCTTAGGTCTAGGGTGTAAATTTTAGATGAGATTGGATGTGTTCAGGGTAGTATGGCCATAGACTGGGGTGTAATTTTTAAAACTATTTTTTTCTGAATATCAGCTTTGTTGAAATACAACTCATCACAGACTGTAATAACCATTTTATAGTGTACAATTCAGTGCTTTTTTGCATATTCATAGAGTTGTACAGTTATCACCACTAATTTTAGAACATTTACATCACCCCTAAAAGAAATGCCTTAGCCATTAGCAATCACACTCCTTCCTCCCCTCTCCCCTACCCAGGGCCAACACTGATCTACTTCCT